CATACGGACGGATTGATTTTAAACGCACAGAAGCACGGAGATTCTCACTTGACACCACCTCATCCACCGTATTCCGTTCGGAAGCGCGAGGAGCAACGCGGCGATGGCTGAGGGCAAGTGAATTACGGGCGCGCGTCCATCTGAAGTGATGAGACAGAAACGCGCGGCTGGTTCCGTCTGTCAGGTTGTATAATGGAGAGCTCCAATGGCTCCGACACCAAACCGCAGAGCCATCATCCTCATCCTCAGGTGGAGAAGAAGAGGTTAAACCGAGCGCCGTCCCCTGCCAGACCCGTCCTGAAGGATGTCCACTCGCGAACGGCCAAACCGATCGTGCCAAAATCCCCCAAATTCAACAAACAGCCAGCGTCCGCCGCGCCGGTGACACCTCAGAGCCGCGTTCCGAGACGCACCGTTCCGGGCGCGAAGGACAAAACCGCATCAGCACCTGCAAGAAGCAACAGCAAGCCCTCAGCGACAAAAAAGGCCGTTAAGGTCACTCAGCATGCAGCATCCGAGACGAAACCGGCCTGCAAAGCGGTTGATGCCGCCGCTTCGCAGATCGCCAAGAGCAAGGGACGGCTGGCCCCGATACGCGTCCCCACCGGACGCGGCGTTTGTCAGACGGACAGCAGCTCGGATTTGTCCGACTGTCCCTCCGAGCCGCTGTCCGACGAGCAGAGACTCGCTCAGGCCGCCAGTAGCGATGCGGAGTCGGGCAGCGGCTCCGGTTCGAGCGAGCAGGCGGCCGGGGTTCGGGTGCGCGCGCTGGCGGGAGGATCTCAGGCTGCACCTGTGCCCGGTGCGCACGCGGACAAATGCAAAGCCGAGAAGGACGCACAATTCAAACCGGAGGGCAAGGAAATGGCCCAGGAGGAACTGCTGAGGGAAATCGAAGACCTTCGATCGGAAAATGACTACCTCAAGGTGAGCCGACACACCGAAATGTAGGCTACTATGGTACTACCACGGTATTCTTAAAAGTGACTTGGAGTACCATGGAAAATAGTAGGCCTACTTGAATGTTCAGTATCAGCATGAAGCTGCCGGGTTTTTGTTTGGAGATGGTTAAACGTTTAAAAAGTAAAGTAGTACCACGGTACAGTGGGGAACTTTGATTTACAATACTACTGAATGTTTTTTGTGTGTGTGTGTGTGTGTGTGTGTGTGTGTGCGTGTGTGTGTTTGTGTGTGTGTGTGTTTGTTGTCTATTTTGTGTGTGTATATACATGCATAAAAATATTATAAAATACAAAGATAAAAATAATAAATCTATAAATGATACATTTATAACATTATTTATTGTTTTATAAAAAAATGTATATGCACATATATAATCAGATTATTTAAAATATTTTTGTCTCTCTATATAAAATGTTTGTTTTAAATATTTTTATTATATTTATTTATTAAATTCGAGTTTTATTATAAATATAATATAAAATATAAATAATATAATATAAGATTTATTTTACTTTTTTTAATGTCTTGTGTGGTTATCTGAAGGATTATGGGTTGAGCTGCTGCTATAAATCCATGTGAGAGTTATAGACTGTAATTAGTTTTTGACCCTCTTTATGTTCTTGCCCATGTATTAAATTCATCCTATTGGTTTTCATCTCTAAGGCTAACAGTACTGCAGCATCATTTGTCCATTAAAGCATGTTTTCCAGAGTAAATAAATACATAAAAGTAGCATGGCACATTTTTTTGGCTTTTGAAGTACTTTGGAGTACCATATAAACATGATGCAACATCTCTTACAAGAAGAGCTGTGATGGTATCAAAAGACAGTGCCATTATAGTAAGGTACTCCAAGATACTTAAAAAAAATACCATGGTACTGTGAGGAGAGTAAGATCTAGATCCATAAATCTGCACTTTAACTGATTTTTAGGTCAGATCAGTCCACAGAGAACAGATGAAGCCAGCGTGCATCAGAAAGACCCTCAAACTCCCGCAGGAAACGCATCACAGTCTTCGCCCTCAGTGTGATGGGTAGATGAAGGCAGACCTAATTAGCATAATTCCATAAATGATTTATCTTTTTTGTCAGATGCACAGGGCTCGGCTGCTGTCACAAACAGGATTTTCATAAGTTTATCTCTGAAGACGTGGTGTTAATCCGCTTTAGTAGCTGCGTGCAATGGCCGCGTCCCTCCTGACCCAGAGCCGGACCGTGTGTTTGGAGCCTCCCTAAAGCAGATGTGCTTATGCTCTTATTTCTGTCTCTCTGTCTTTCCGTCGCTCTGTAAGTAATACTATACTGCAGCATGTATGAATCAATATTTAATCAAATAAACAGCAATATGTCCATGTTATAGTAGTATAGTATGACATTAATTGTTTAGTCCACCATAACTCATGTTTGACAGGAACATCCAGACAGTATGTGGCGGGACGCTGCTGTCACACGACTTTGTCCCCAACATCATACAGTGAAGGTCATTGTGTTTGGGCTGTTTGTCACTGTCTGTCTCTCTTTCCTTGCCTTTCTGTCGTTCTTCCTCGACCTTGTTTACACTGGATGCGCTGAGGCATTGTGCAGTATTTACTGAGAAATGAGGCGTCACAAATGACAGTCATTCATTATAGTTCAGGATGTGGGTTTTACCGATGATTACAGTTTCTTTACCTGCAGTCTTATTTGTTTTTGTCATTTTTGAAGTGTCTTTTTCTTTATTGTAGTAAGGAGGTTGTTCTTGCCATTTCAGACCATGATTTCAGTTCATGTACACTGCAAAATTAGATCAATTTAATTAGAATCCTGAATGAGGATTCATATTATAATTCTAATTCAGTACTAATTCTGATTTTTATTCTAGTTCCAATCCTGATTCTTATTCTGTTTCTGTTTCTCATTCTGGCTTTTAGTCTGATGTTCATCTTAATTTTGAATGCATTGATTCAGAGTTTTATAACCTGATTCTAATCCTGATTCTTATTCTAATTCAAATTATGATTTTAATTTATTATTTTTCTTTTGTTCCAGCCCTCATTCTGTTTCTGATTTTCATTGTTCTTGTCCAATTCCGCTTCTGATTCTCTTTCTCTTTCTGTTTCTAATCCTGATTCTCATTCTGCTGTTCATTCAGGTTTACTCCTACATAAAGTAATTTCGGTGCAAGTTCATTCCATAATCAGATCCGTTTTAATTATCCTTCTGAACGAGTATGATTCTGAATTTTATCCTTGATTCTCTGATCTTGATTCTGATTCTAATTCAAATTCTGATTCTCATTCTAGTTCTGGTTCCAACTCTGCTTCTGATTCTCTTTCTGTTTCTAATCCTGATTCTCATTCTGATGTTCATTCTGATTCTGATTTTCATTGTAATTCTCATTTTGATTCTGATTCTAATCCTAATTGTCATTCTGTTTCTGATATTGATTCTCATTCTAATGATGATTCTCATGGCTTCCGTTCATTCTTATTTTCCTTTTGATTCTGATTTGAACTCTAATCGGAATTTGATTATAATTCAAATTCTGATTTCCTTTTAGTTCTGGTTCCAATTCGGTTTCTAATCTTGATTCTGATTCTCTTCCTCTTTCTTTTTTAATCCAGATTCTCATTCTGATGTGCATTCTGATTCTAATCCTGATTCGGTTTGCTTTAGGATGAAGTGGACGAGTTGCGAGCAGAGATGGAGGAGATCAGGGACAGTTACCTGGAGGAGGAGGTGTACCAGCTCCAGGAACTGCGCAGGGAACTGGACCGCTCCAACAAGAACTGCCGGATCCTGCAGTACCGCCTGCGCAAGGCTGAACAGAAGAGCCTGCGTGTAGCTCAGACCGGACATGTCGACGGAGAGCTTCTGCGTGGTCTGGAGCAGGACCTCAAGGTGTTTTTTTTATAGGCAATGTGTGGGGTTAAATATGTGTTTTGATATCTAAGATCACAAGTTATCATTGGTTAATTTCTCTAACTAATGAGAGTTGAAAACAAAGTAATATAACATGTCCTTCCATCCATAGGTGGCCAAAGATGTATCTGTGCGTCTGCACAATGAACTGGAGACAGTGGAAGACAAGCGCACACGGGCAGAAGATGAAAACGAGCAGCTCAGGCAAAAGCTCATCGAGGTGGAGATCTCCAAACAGGCCATGCAGAACGAGCTCGAGAGAGCCAAAGAGGTACAACACGCTTCATTATTAGATATTGAGACACCTGTGCATGGTGCACACTTTTATTGAATTGGATCACAGAGGAAGTATTTTATAAGACGAGATCTTTAAAAGCATATTCATGAAGTAGTGTGGCGATTTTGCATCTTTTTATTCATGTGTGCCGTTTATTTTCAAGGACAGAGAATCGCAGTTGTATTCTTAAGAGGAATATTCTGGGTTGTTTGCTTTATAGTTTAGTTTCTGTGGACTACCTTTTAGCCGAAAATAATTTCTTTAGTTTGTAAAAACAAGCAGGAATTGTGTTTATATTAATGCACTTACAATGAAATCCTGAAGCAGCTCACATTATTTAAAATAAAAAATGTGAAGCTTGTATTTTTGTTAATGGAGCTCTAAGCATTTTTCGTATATAATGCATAAATCATTGCTAAAAAATAATGCTATCCTAAAAATGAATAGTTAATGTATTAACTAACATTAACACTGAGCAATAGGGTGTGTTCCATAAGCGCCACCTGCTGTCAGAGAGTGACATTTGTGTCTCATTAACAAAGCTAAAATCAGACCATTCTGTTTTCTTTGTTTGGATCGTGATTAAAATGCAGTGGTTGCCTCTTATTTTAAATGGAAAAAGCACAGCCGAATTCCTTAGTTTGTTTATATGAAGAGATTTATTTTATTTGTATTATTTAATTATTTGATTTGGGATTTGTTTTAAAATTTTAAGTTAGTTTTATTATTTTACATATTTTAATGTCAAAGAAATGTGCAGCATTGAAATAATAAAAGGACACCTTTTCATTTATAATTTGTCTTAAATCTCATTTTGTTAAAAAGAAAAATTGTGAGAAAATTGTATTGTGAAATCAGTATTGTGAACCGCATCGCATCGTGAGTTGAGTGAATCGTTAAATCCCTATATGCTACTAGTTTTTGCTGTGGTATCAAATAAGTATTCTGTTATTGAAATAATAAAGAATCATATTTTTTTTGCTCATCTGCAAAATGACCCGATCTGTTATTCAAAATCTGATATGATAATGCAATATGATCCGAGCCGTGGGTTTTGTGATCTGTTGCACCCCTACTCTCTTGACTTGTTATTTGAAGAAAAAAAGCGATCAATTAAGTTTTTAATCATGCTGATTTGTCCGCAGTGAATTTCAGCCGATGTCTTTTTTTTTCATATTCGGGCTACTTAAATTCATTTTGGGCTACCAAAATCTGAAGAATGTCTGCCCGAAGGGCTACCAGCGATTTTGAAATTTTGCGAGCCCTGGGGTGAATTCAGTGAGTCTTTTTGCTATTTAGATGACAGAAAAAGTGGCCCAAATGTCCTGAATTAACCACAAATTTATATTTTTACATATTTTTATCACTAGTTAATATAAATACAACTCTTCATTGTTAGTACATGTTAGGTCCCTTAAATACCATAACTTTTTATTTTAATGATGTATTAGTAAATGTTGGAATTAACATTGTATTTGTTTTTAGTTCATGTTAAGTTAATGTTATCAAATGGAACCTTATTGTAAAGTGTTACCTATATATTAATTGTGTGTTTTCATTGCAGTACTGCTAGTTTTCATCAAGCGACAAACAATTTTCTTTGGTATTCCACAGCATTATTGTGCTTAAATTGTAAATAACCCAGAATATTACTTGAAGGCAGTTCAAACAAACTTGGAAATGATTCACAGACTGTAGAAATGCTGTGATGTAAATCTTGCTGGATCAACTTTGTTGAAAAAGGCACTTAAACCTGGACGGCCCGAGGGTTAGACTTCCGCCCACCCTAGCGTACTGTGAATTGCTTTAAAGTATGGATGAATACATTAACTTTGAAGCCTGCTGTCCTGTGCATTAATGCATGAGAGGCCGTAGCGGTTGCTCTGCTTCTGTAATTGGATGCTGAGGAGTTACTCTGGAGTTGGTCAGGTTCATCTGAAACTAATCTGGAAAGACTGAGTCACAGGTAGAGCCATCTGTACATGCAGATGAATGCTGCTGCAGTGTGGAGGAGAATAAATATGGATGTAATGTACATTACAGCTATTTTAGAAACAGAAAACAGCTTTTTTAAATTGTAATAATATTTCATAAATTCATTTTTGATAAAATAAATGCAGAATTGGCGAGCATCTATTTTGGCTATTTTTCTATATCGCCTATGTTGCATTGTCTTTTTCGGATTTAGTCAGATTTTAGATCCACTTTATAAATTCGTATGTGCGTACGCTATTCTCTTGTTAATGCAGTTCAAACAGCAGAGGATCACAACAGTGAATCATTGCACTGGTATCCCAGAATCCCCTCTGATTCTCTGAGATCTGCTGCATTGTAAAACATCCCCTGGGGGGAACAACAACTCTTAAAGGAACAGTTCGTCGGAACATTTAAATTCTGTCATTGTTTTTTCACCCATGTGTTGTTTGATGCCTGTATGGCTTTCTTTCTCGTCTGTGGAACAGAAAATTCACGCTACTTTTTTGACACGACTTAGATTGTTAGTTTTTTTGGGTGAACTGTTCCTTTAAAAACAGATTTTTTTTTCTGCATGCTGTCAGCCTTTATGGTGTAAATTAATTTTTGTTTTATTTTTGCATTAATATTTATCATGTATTTTGGAAAGGTAAACACACACACAAGGACAGATATAATGAGTGTGAAGGAGAGAAAGCGTTGAAATGAGTGTTAGCGCTTTGTGAGCTATAGCGCGTCTCTCTGGAGGTTTGCCCCAGAAAACGTCTAGCTCCACTTTTTCAGCGTTCATCACACCATACCCTTCATTTTCCCATCCCTCCATTCGCCCCACACACATTTCTTGCACACTGCCATGTTCAATTAACTTGACGTACTTTTCCAGCTGATGTCATGCCTTTAGTTTCAACTTTAACAGCTTTTTAGATATTAAAGTAGTTGAAATATTAAAGTCAACATGAAATCAGAACTAGCCCTGTTTGCTTTTTAATACACATTCCTGGTCTTAATGTGAACAGCTTATTGGTGCACATTATTCTTATGAAAAAACATGTTTGTTTAAATAGTTTCTCAATGTATGTAGTTAAATTTCAAAATGTTGCATGATGTCAGTAAGGTTGTTTTATTTTGTTTCATGTTGACTTTAAAGACTTTACACCTTAAAACCATCCAATCAGTCAGTCAGTCAATCAATCAGTCAATTAGTTTAATTTATCGTTAATTAATTTATTGTTTTCAAAATACCAAAACATTTATTTATATATATAAAAATAATAAAATATATTGAAATACATTTCTTGGTATTTTGCTTTAGCTTTTAAAAACAGCAATAATAATAATAAAAAATATATTAAAAAAAATATATATATAAATAATATATTAAATTAAATGCTCAATACCAAAATGCAAAATAATAATATATATATTTTTACAAATGATAAAACATATAAAAACTATACAAAAAATATAATAAATGAATGAATAAAAGGAAAAGGAAAACATTAATTGGAACAACCAATTATGAATTTTTTTTTTTTTTATATCCAAATAACCATATAGCAACTCAAGAACCCATACTGTGAAAAACAGTTCTTGATCAGCAAGATCTTTTCAAAGTACCTTTATTTTCTACCTGCATGCGTGGCACAGGTTTGGATGGCTTTTGTTCACATGCTAAACAGATTGGAATGAGGTTAAGCTGGGCAGACGGGATGCTATTTCCTCTCTAAGTATCTAAATACTGATCTGGCAGTGAAGGAACTAAAAATACAGCATTCAGAGTTCAGGACGGTGCAACTCTAGATTTCAAGATTGTCAAAGCACAGTTTCCACATGTCTGTGTTTACAATATATTGCTGCTCTGCTTGGTGCTTTTGATTTACAAGATTTACATTTTACAGGGTTTGAGGCACATAGATCTCTTTCTTGTGTTGTCTTGCTTAAAATACTGTAGATATCAATAGTGGCTTGAACTGCTGTGTTTTCAGTTTCTTGCGTGACATTTCGCGACAAGTTTGTCTGCATTTCTTGTTCTTGTTAGTGTCACTGGTGCCCCGCCCCTCCCCCAATTCACATTAAAACAATGTGTTTGGATGTTTCACCATTTTTTTTTTCTAAGAATAATTTCCATAATTTTTCAAAGATTTAAAAAAATATATTGTATTACACTATAATTTTTTCCATAAATTTCACCATTAATTAAAAGCAGTACTACATATACAGTATATATATATATATATATATATATATATATATAAATTATAAAATGTATTAAAAAAAAATTTATTATTATTTTGCATTTGAGTATTAAGAATTTTGGAGCAAATGTGTAAAAACAAATCTTAATGGTCGTAGAAATAGGCTTCTTTTTCATTAAGTAAAATATAAACAAAAGAATCCCATTACATTTTTTTTTCATTGCGATAAAATATTTAAATTCACTTATTTAAATTGAAGTTAATTTAGGACACTTTTTGCTGTTATTGTATGGAAATGTTTTGTCTGTGCTATCGCTGGTGTCCAGGCTGTTTGCTGTCAGCTCTGATTCCTGCAGTGGGATTGGCACCCCGACCAGAATTCATCCAACTGAGCTGCCTGTTATGAAACCTGCTGGCAGATTCCTGCCTCACGGGGGAGGAGAGGAAGTGAGAGAGAGAGACAGATACTCAGAGAGGGAGAGAGAGGCTCTCAGATGGGTTTATATGTGTCAGGCTGTGATATGGCATCAGCTTATGGAGGTTTTTGTAAACAGTTCAGTGGTTTCGTGTGCTGCGGGTCGCTAATGACCGCCTGTCATTTGTAATGCACCGTACTGCCACCACACGTCCAGAACGTGGTCTCAGACTGTTGTTCAGATAGATCAGCGTGCAATTGAAATGGTGCTCCAGGTTTCAGAGGATTCTGTTAAATCTCAAATGTTATTATGTGGTATAAGCACGTAAAATAGAGCTGATCAGGTTGTTGTCCAAACACTGGGAGAATTAGCCTTTCTGAACCTTGTTTTTCGAACTATTTCGAATATA